AAATAGAAACTAATGTAGACATACTTTTTTTTTTTTTTTTTGCAGTGTTTAAAATTAATGCTAGAGAAATCTGGTCTACCGGGTAAGTTATTTCCCAGGATGATATAGTCTGACATCGTTTAGTTAAAATAAATTACAGTAGTGTTCCTTTGTTGTGGCTTCACTCTGCAGTTTCAGTTGTCCTCAGTTTAAAAATATTAAATGAAAAATTCCAGAAGTAGTTCACGTTTTGAACTGCACCTTTCTGAGTAGTGTGATGAAAAAGTATGTGGAAAATGTGTATGGTAAAAACTGTGCATAGACCTCAAGAAAATACACTGAAAAAACCTTATCTTCCAATTTCATTTTCCATGAATTTTTGAAGTATCCTTATATATGTACATAAATGTATATGTTTCTGTGTATATGTAAATTATAAAGTTACAAAGTAAATATTGTATAACAGTAGCAATTATTTTCATTTGTTTATTTGAAGAAGAGAGAAAGCTGTCATCCATTTATGTACTCCCCATGTGCCTGCTATGGCCACGGAGCCAGAAGCTCAATCCAGGTCTCCCGTATGGGTGACAGGAATTCAAGGGCTTGAGTTATCACTGCTAGGTGATAGGTTAGCATCAGCAGCGAGAGCTTAGAGTTGAAACCAGACTCTGATGTGGGTTGTAAGCTCTTAGCTGTGTCTCAACTCCTGCCCTATACGTGTCATTTTATTCCCTAGTATACAGGTCTTGATGAAAGAGTAGAAATTAATCCGATGCTCTGGAAGACGTAGTTAGTTACTTAAAAAATTGACAGTTGTCAGCAGACCAAACCCTATTTGAAATTCACTTACCCAGCAGTCATTCCTTTCAAACTCTGAAGACATATTCTGATTTTTTATCCTGATTTTGATTGCTTCACAGGAGAAACATGGCATTTACGAAAAATGGATTGGTGCTATGAAGCCGGGGAGCCTTTATGTGCAGAAGTAAGATTATTTCTATACATTTGATTATTATTATTTTTTATTTGCATACAAGATACCTACCCTACTCAGGTGAATAAATTCGAAAGAAAGTTTAACTTTTCTAGGCTACAGAGATCTATAAATGAATCTATTTTCACTTTTTTATTGTTGTATTATTTTGATAGAGGGAGTTTGAGCTACATGAGAATATCCCTGCTATCTGTGATAAGTCCCTTTTTGAAGAGAGTGCATGTCCCTTGCAGCAGTAGTTCATTAGAAGAACAAATGAACTGAAGAAAGAATCTAAGACATACTTTGAATTCTCAGCCCTGAGTGCTGTAATCTCAGAGTCCTCTGAAAGTCAACAGCGGCAGCATTCATCTTACAACCAGCCTCTTGGGCTGTGGTCCAAGCTCTGGTTGCAGCCAAACTCGGTTTCCAGGAGCGTGTATTATACAAGTCTGAGTGCAAGAAATGGCAAACAGTGCTATGTCTGCTTTAAAAGCGCGTCTGGTGCCAAGTCCTGATGCTTTGGATGGCCCCTGGCTCCCTGCTTCCCCAGAGCACGCTGAGGCCAGTCTCTTGGGTGGCGGGGCAGCTTCTGCACGGGGCCTCCTGCCTCCTGTCACCTGAGGCATCAGGCACTTTAGTGATGCTCAGCGATGGCTCCTCTTTCTCTCCTTGTACACACACAGGCTCCCAGAGCCAGCTCTGGCTGGGGGCCTCGCAGGGTGGACGGGCCAGGCCAGGGTCAGCAGGTGGCTGGGACTTCACCGCCTGCTTGAGCGACAGGTCCTCATGTGGGCTGGAGCTGTGGTTCCAAATCCCGCCAGCTGCCCAGCCCAGATGCCCCAGGGGCCTCTCTGCTGGGGGACGCCTCGCCTGGGCCCTTGGTGAGGCATTTCCAGGGCCGCCTGTCCGGGCTCGCAGAGGTGCAGGCGGCAGCAGAGTGACTGGCGGGTCGGAGTTCTGAGGAGCTGGGACAAAGTGCTGACAGTGCCTGGCTGTGGGCCTTCCAGCAGTCTTCAGGGGGTGGGGGGTGGGTCCAGACCCCCAGGCCGGGGCTGCTAGGAAGGCCTGCTGGCCTCCTCAAGGGCTTGTGGGCTCCCAAGCTTCCTCTGGGCAACAATGGGCCCTTCTATTCTGGGAGAACACAGCACGACCCCTGTCAGCAGGCCTGGGACCGCTGGCCCCTGGCCCCTGGCCCCTGGGCAGGCAGGAGTCCTCTTCCCCACCCTGTCTTGCTCCTCTAAGGGGTGGGTTCTGGCCTGCTTCCGGGTTAGGTGCTGAGCCGGGCTCGTGTCTTCCCTGGCTGTCCTCAGGCCCCTCGTCGGCCTCATCCTCTGAGGAGTCCACCGCCTGGATAGCTTCTTGCTTCTGCAGCGACTCTCGCCACTCAGCTCGGTCCTGCCGGAGGGTGCCCAGGGCCCTTGAGGGAGCTGGCGGTAGCGCCCCCTCCCCTGGCAGCGCCCCTTCCCGGACAGCACGCCCCTGGTGCAGTACTGGTGCTGGAGCTTGGGCACCAGGCCATGTAGGGAGCTGGGTCGGGTGTGGCTGGAGCCAGCTGGGGAGCTGGGCACGCTGGAGCTGGGGGCGCTGCCTCCCGCTGAGTGCACAGCTGGAACTAAGGAGTAGCTTTAGGAACCGTTTCATCACAGGATAGTTTGAATCTGCTGACTCTTCTTATTGTTGGTCCAGATGACATCAAGCGTCCCAGTCCAAAGCATGACCTTGGAAGTAGGCCGAAAATGAAGCCTTGTGAGGAAACTTCCAAGTGTGCTCAGCTCCCCCTTCTTGCAGACTTTACCTCCTTGATTTCTGTCGGTAATGAGCGGCGCATTGAACATCATTGGTGTACTCATGTGCTGGAGCTCCCTGGGAACGCTCTTGCCATCAGCAGAGGCTCCTCTGGAGTCTTGGCCAGGAGTTAGACTGCTCAGAGTAAGAAGTGAACCTCAAAGCATCTCAGGACATACAATTTAAATGTCAGAAGGAGAGATTTCTTCAGCATTTTCTCCTCTATTAATTCCCACATTGATATCAAACAGTTCATTAGAAAGCAAACTGTTTACCCTCAACACTGGCTTCTCTTTCCAGATTGACCGTCTCTCTCACACGCCCCCTATCTTTTCATCTGAAATATGGCTTATCCTGATTGTTTTCCATTCTTCATCTTAGTCTCAGCCTTCCAGAGCTTTTCCGCGTGTTCCCTGACCGTTCCCATTGCTGGCCTCCTGGTTCACAAGCCATCTCTTGCGTCTCACCAGATTACTTCAGTGACTTCCTGGGCTCGGGTGTTCCTCTCTTCAGTGTGTCCTGCTTGCAGCAGCCAGACTAATCTTTGAAAAAAGCTCAGGGATCTCAAGTGGCTCCTTTATTCCACATCCCTTCAATTAGTGCCATCCTGCCTGGTGCATTTTCTGTTACTTCTCTACCTGTGCCTCCTGCCGTGCCTCCTCTCTCTGCACCTGTGCCTCCTGCTGTGACTCTAGTCTCTCTGCACCTGTGCCTTCCACTGTGACTCTAGTCTCTCTGCACCTGTGCCTCCTGCTGTGACTCTAGTCTCTCTGCACCTGTGCCTTCCACTGTGACTCTAGTCTCTGCACCTGTGCCTCCTGCTGTGCCTCCGCTCTCTCTGCACCTGTGCTTCCACTGTGACTCTAGTCTCTCTGCACCTGTACCTCCCGCTGTGCCTCCTCTCTCTGCACCTGTGCCTCCACTGTGACTCTTCTCTCTGCACCTGTACCTCCCGCTGTGACTCCTGTCTCTGCACCTGTACCTCCTCTGTGCCTCCTCTCTCAGTACTTGTGCCTCCCGCTGTGCCTCTTCTCTCTGCACCTGCGCCTCCCGCTGTGATACTAGTCTCTCAGCATCTTACCAGAAAAAGCCATGCTTAGTGTCAGCCTCGACATTGCCCATGTTCTTTTATGAGAATTTCCTTCTCTTGTCTGAGTTCATCCAGCTTTGCAAATCCAACCCATCTTTTTAGGCTTAACTAAGATTTCTATTTTCGTAAATCAATTTCTTGTCATTTCTCAGCTCATCCATCTCCTTTTCCTTGAAGCTTTTAGTATACTTAAAGTTTATACCCCACAATGTAAATACACTATCAGGTACTTATTGTGTAGCCATAGCTTATTTCTTGTATCTTCAATATGTGCTTTATTATTTATTTCTTCAAAAGCTGACAGAGGTATGGGGTTAAAAAAGATCCCCTGGTCTGTTTGTTCCTTTCGGAAGTCATAAGTGACAAAAGAATTTCTGTGTTCCCAGGATGCAACACTGAAAGAGCTTATGATATGTTCTGGAGATACTTTGCTCTTAGTTGAAGGAAAACTTCCCCCTCCGGTAAGATTTTTGCTTCTGAATGCACAGTTTGTAAGTTACAGTAATTGTTTTCTGATTACGTAGATAATATAGTCTCATTATGGGAAAATAGGGATATTTAGACAGTAATAAAAGAAAAAAATGGAGACCTTTCCCCAGATCCTACCAATCAGCTATTTTTTCTTCTTTATTTTTAAATAAAATTTTATTTCCTGCTTTTTATAGTTAATATTTAACCTGATCAGAAAATCCAAAAACAGTCATCTTTCTCTGCTTTCCCAGGTGTATTAGCAGAGAGCTGGATGGAAAGCAGAGTAGCCGGGCTGGAACATTTGCTCCCATGTGGGATGTTGGTGTTGCCAGTGACAGTTCAACCCAGCCCAATTCCTGTTATTTATTAATGTATTGATTTAATTCTTTTGCATGCCCTATTCTGACATTGTATTGTATACCTAGCTGTTTTCATGATTATTTTATTTCCAGGTATATGATGTATATATGATGTATTTTATTTCCAGGTATATAATGTATGTATGATGTATATAATGTATACATGTAAACTATCGCATTCTATTTAGTGAGCACGTAATATTCCAGTGTGTGGAAGTACATATATATGTGCCATGTTGCATGTATCTGAGTGTGTCTACGGGATGGAGTCCTATAACCAGAATTACTCAGTCAAAATTTATGGCCTCCATGTGTAAGCAGCTTTCTGCAGTGGCACCTAGTGCGCACTTCAGCCGCATCTGTGCTGAAATTGGAACGATGCAGAGATCAGCATGGCCCCTGCACAAGGATGACATGCAGATTTGTGAAGCGTTCCATATTTTTTAGCTGATTGTCCGTTTTTTTTCCCCCAAAACTGTGCTTAGAAGCCCCACTACCACCAGCCTCTCAGATTTTCAGATTTGCCTCTCTTGGAGCCTTGAAGAAGGTCTCAGACTTAAATAAATCTTGCTTTTATTCTCTGTTAAAAAAAAAAAAAAAAGTAAGAGGCGTGGAGGTTGGTCTGTATGCCTGCAGATGGGGCTTTCTGTGTGTGCACTGCTGTTGGCAAGTAGACCACTGAATAGAACTTGGGCATTTTACACGGTGGTGGTTATGGCCAAATCACTCTCCAAAGACTTTGTAGCACTTTTTTAAAAAAAAAAATTTATTTTACTTGAAAGAGTTAGAGAGGTAAAGAGGGGGGGTGGGGGTTGGGGGGTTTTCCATCCGCTGGTTCACTTCCCAAATGGCTGCACTGGCCAATGCTGAGCTGATCCGGAGCCAGGAGCTTCTTCCTGGTCTCTCATGTGGGTTCAGGGGCCCAAGGACCTGGGCTATCTTCCACTGCTTTTCCAGGCCATAGCAGAGAGCTGAACTAGAAGTGGAGCGGCTGGAGCTCGAACTGGCACCCATATGGGATACCAGCACTACAGGCCGGGCCTTTAACACACTGCGCCACAGCACCTGTCCCTTGTAGCACTTTTTATTCCTGCCACCAATTAGGAGAACTCAAGTTCACCCATTTTTTTTTAATTCTCATCTTTTTTTAAAAAAAAATATTTATTTATTTGAAAGGCAGAGTTACACAGAGAGAGAAGGAGAAACAGAGAGAAGGATCTTCCATTCTCTGGTTCACACCCCAATTGGCAGCAATGGCCAGAGCTACACTGATCCAAAGCCAGGAGCCTCTTCCGGGTCTCCCACATGGGTGCAGGGCCCAAGGACTTGGGCCATCTTCCACTGCTTTCCCAGGCCACAGCAGAGAGCTGGATCAGAAGAGGAGCAGCCGGGACTAGAACCAGCGCCCTAATGGGATGCCAACAGAGGATTAGTCCACTGCAACACAGCACCAGCCTCGCTGCTCCACTTCTGACCCAGCTTCCTGCTAATGTACCTGGGAAGGCAGAAGAGGATGGCCCAGGTACGTAGGCCCCTGCCACCAATGTGGGAGACCAAGATGGAGTTCTGGGCTCGTGTCTTTAGCCTGACCCAGCCCTGGCCATTATAGCCATTTGGGGAGTGAACCAACAGATGGAAGATAGCTCTAACTCTCAATCTCTCTATCTTTATCTGTCACTCAGCTTTTCAAATAAGTAAATAAATCTTAAAAAACGTAATTGTGGGGTAAGGTGTTTGTCTTAGCAGTTGAGATGCCCATGTACCAAACCAGAGTGCCTAGGTTCAATGCACTCCAAATTCCAGCAGCCTGCTAATTTACACCCTTGGAGGAAGCAGGTCATGGCTCAAGCAATTGGGTTCCTGCTACCCAGCCCCAGCCATTTTGGGCTTTGGGGGAGTGAACCAGCAGAAAGGACCCCTCTGTGTGTCTCTGTCCATCTCTCTCTCTTTCCCTCTCCATCTCCCTCCCTCCCCACACCCCTTTCCCCCAGCCACCTCTCTGCCTCTCAAAAGATGATTTTTTTTTCATGCTCCATTCTTCAGGGATTCTTGAAGGTGCCAATCTGGTGGTACCAGCTGTGGGAGCCCTCAGAACAGTGGAAGAGTCATCAAAACGATTCCAGTTGTGCCCCTTCTCGAGGTGGGGGCTGGGGAGCTGCTTCCACCCAAGGTGAGGACAGAGTGAAGTTACAGCAGCTAGTGTGGCGTGAAAAGTAAGGTCAGGAGTCAGAAGTCATCCCATGTAAATCACACCATCCTATTTTGTTTTTAAGTTTTTACCTATTTACTTATTTGAAAGGTAAAATGACAGAGAAAAAGGGTAGGAGAGAGAGCTTCTATCAGCGATTTTCTCCTCAAATGCTGGCAACAGCTGGGGCTGGCCCAGGCTGAAGCCAGAAGCCTAGAACTCCATGAAGGTCTCCCACATGGATGGCAGGGACCCAGGCACTTGAGTCATCAGGGTGCCTCCTGGGTGCACATAAGCAGAGTAGCCAGGACTGGAGCCAGTATGGGATGTGGGGATCCCAAGCACATTTAACCTGCTGTACCACAACACCTGCCTCAACACCATCCTGTTTTTTCATAAGCTCTGGAAGGCACTATATATGTTTCCACTCTTTCTGTTAATCTTAAATATCATATCAATATGTTAACTTTCCAAAGATCTGTATGTATCATTTCTCAAGGTCCTCAGGACAATGGAAGCCCTGTTATATGTGACAGGAAATGGAAGCTTCAGCTACTCCCAGTGACCTCACTGCAGTCCGTGGGACAGAAACCCGGGCTGGAGTCTGCATCCTGCCAGCCTCCTGGGCGTGTTGTCTTTCGCAGAGCCTCCAGGAGCTGCTTCCAGGGCATCTGCGGAATCTCACTGACTTCTGAGAAGAAATATTGACAGAGTGCCTGCACCCCATCTTGGGGTGCTATTGTGGTTGCTCAGCTTCTGAGAGAGAAAGAGACAGAGAGAGACAGAGAGAGGCAGGCCAGTGTTGTGGTGCAGAAGGGAGGGTAAGTGATGCCTGCAACTCTAGCATCCCATATCAGAGCACCAGTTCAAGTCCCAGCTGCTCCACTTGTGATCCAACGTCCTGCTAATGTGCCTGGGAAGGCAGTGGAAGATGGGCCAAGTCCTTGGGCCCCTGCCACCCATGTGGGAGACCAAGAAAAAAGAAAGCACATTCTTTTTTTTGTTGCTGTAGATACAGAATATGTTTATAGTAGGACCAGCTCATTGTGTATGTTTTTCTTTTTATCCTGCTTTACATAATTATTCAGCTTTTATAGTACCTTGAAGTATTATAGTTAGATTTCTTTTATTTATTTATTTGAGAGGTAGAGTTACAGTGAGAGGAAGAGACAGAGAGAAAGGTCTTCCTTCTATTGGTTCACTCCCCAAATGGCTACAAAGGCCAGTGCTATGCCGATCCAAAGCCAGGAGCTTCTTCCCAGTCTCCTACGCGGGTGCAGGGGCCCAAAGACTTGGGCCATCTTCCACTGCTTTCCCAGGCCATAGCAGAGAGCTGGATTGGAAGAGGAACAGCCAGGACTAGAACTGGCACCCATATGGGATGCCGGCATCGCAGGCGGAGGATTAACCCACTGCCCCACGGCGCCAGCCATTTCTTTTTATCATTTAAGCCTCAGTAATGGAATTAGTGTAACTAGTCAAATTCTTTCTTTATTTATATTTTGAAAGAGTTAGAGAGGTAGAGAGAAAGAGGTTTTCCATCTGCTGGATCACTCCCCAAATAGCTGCAACTGCCGGACCTGAGCCAGGAGCCTCCTCTGGGTCTCCCACGTGAGTGCAGGAACCCAAGGACTTGGCCATCCTCTGCTGCTTGCCCTTGCACGTCAGCAAGGAGCTGGTTGGAAGCGGAGCAGCCGGGACTCAAACCGGTGCCCGTGTGGGATGCAGCATCAGGGGCCTGCCGCTGTGGCACCAGCATCCCCTGTGCGCACAGATCCAAATTCTGGCTGTCCCACTTGCGACCCAGCTCCCCGCTGTGACCTGGGAAAAGCAGCAGAAGATGGCACAAGTGCTTGGGCCCCTCCCACCCACATGAGAGACCTGGATAGAAGTCCTGGCTTCAGCCTGGCTCCGCCCTGGTCATTGCCACCACTTGAGGAGTGAACCAGCAGATGGACAGCCTCCCTGTCTCTCTCTCTCTCTCTCTAACTCTCTCATTCAAATAAATACATTTTTATTTAAAAAAAAACTATAATAATATCAAAACGTGGCACTCTATTTCACAAACACAAAGTAGATTTACTTAAAGTTCTTCCAGTCATCCCGCTCTGTCCTTTCGAAGGTGCCCCTGGGAACATGCCTGTGGAAGTTTCTCTCCTCTGCGTGGGGGACATAGAGATCTCAGAAGACGCCACGCTGGCGGATCTCAAGTCGCAGGTCAGACATCCCCCTGCAGCGTGCCTTAGTGGTGAGACGGCTCCTTCCAGTGAGATATTAATGTGTTCTTCTATTTCCTTTTCCCTCGACTGCAGTCTGTTCTGATATGGCATTTGTTACATGCCATGTTCAGTGGTAAGTACCCGCAGGCAGCACGTGCCTGTGGCCCGGCTCCTGTGCTGTCTGCCAGCTGCCCTCGTGGCTCTCACGGGTCCCTCGTGACAGGCATGCCGCGCTTGTGACCGACTCCCCTCAGTGACTTGTGGCTCACGCTCGGTTTCAGTTTCGAAGGAAACATGTTTTCTCGAGACGTTTGTGAAGCATTCACTTTACTCCGTTTCTCACATTGTTTTTGTGCCATTGTGACCCACTTGTTAGATGTTGTTAGAAGTTTTGTTACCAGTTCTCCTTGAGGTCAGGTGATCAGCTTCTGTGTAGGGTGCTACATAACTAGACATGGGACTGCAGGGGGGAGGGCACCTGCAAGTACAAGGGGGCTTTAGAAAGTCCATGTAAAATGTGTGTTAGGAAGAAGCCATGCATGCTTCCAAAATAAACATCTTGTAATTCCATTTTTCCATGAACTCTGAAGCACCCTCGTACAACACAAAATGGTGAAGGAGTATCTTGCTATTGCTGTACTGAATGAATATCCTTCGTTTTCTTAAAGGAAGAAATATGGGGGCATATAAAATATATATATATTTATATTTATATATGGCTAGCAGTTAGTTGTTGATGTTTGGTATTTGTGAGTCCCGATGTGTGAAATAAACTTCCTCAAAAAAACCAAATGGCTTTATTCTCATGCGAACAAGGAGAAAGATGTTTTACCTTGTATTAGTTTGAAAGATACAAAATTACTGGTTTTAAGTTCAAAATGGCTTAATATTGGCAGCTATCTCTGCTTCAATCTAAAGATATTTACAGAATTAGAACAAGCGGCTTAGCCTTACTGATTGGAACCAAAGATTTTGAAACATTTCAAAACCAAAAGTTATTTTGCAGGCAAAGCAAACACTGCAGCAGAAGATGAGGC